TTTTATATTATTACCTGCACCGCAAAAATATTTCGACGTATGTTCTCACTTTCTAATTCTACAAACACAGAAATTAATTGAAAACAATTAGTATAATATTTTTTTCAAATAATCATATATAACTATAAAATAAATATTATAACAAAATTACCTTATAACGAAAGATCGAGCAAACTTCTGAATCAAATAAGATGATTGTCGGATGTTATTTACTGATTCAAAGGATTGTTGGTGAGAGAGTTTACGGGAGACGGCTATTTATAGCCGAGAGAGGATGCCTTAAAGTCGAGAAGTTTGGGAAAATAATGCAAGGTGCAGTCCTTGCATCGCGCCTTGCATTATTTGATAATTGAGATAATTGAATAGCGCGGCCCTTGCCCCTACGTGGCATATGGCGCGGCCCCTACCCCGCGCCATACACACGTGTATCCATGTCAGCATAAGGCGCGCCGCAGGGGGCGCGCCTTACCCCCATGTGGCGCCAAATTAGCGTATAGCGCGCTGCAGTGGGCGCGCCATACTGCAAAGGGTGTTAGATCCGGAAATATAGTCTGACTGGTGCCTGATCGAGAATATTAAATTAAAAAGATGATTTTTTGGGAAAAACGCAAAGATATTTTATCTGAAATTTTATTGATTCAAATTTGTGCTAAATTTGGCATTACAATATACTAAATCTTTCCACTGTCTGGGGACAGACTAATTTGGTGGCCCTGTCATACTCTAATTTTAATTCAAGGGTTAAATTTTTACTGTTAAATTAAAATTAAAAGTGTGGTCTTCTTCTTTTCTTTTGTTTTTTAACCTATGACGACACCAATCTTAATAGTAGTTGCCGATCGTCGGTGATTATTATTTTTCTTTTTCATATTATGTTTTTGTTTTCACTTTTAAATAAGAATTTTTGTATTTGTGACACGTCTTTCTATGCTCTAGTGACAAGTTCTTTATGATTTTTGATAAGTTTTTCGTATAATTCTGTGGTCGTGTTGGTGCTTCCACAAATATCCTCACCGCATTTGTTTTCTGATTGGCTTGTCGGTAGTTAAGTATTGCCAGATCCCCTCTTTTGTAAATGGTCGTTCGCCGATATAATCAGAATTGTGTAGCAAAACAGTCTGCCAAATTGTTTGGTTCGCTAACACTCCTTTATCACATCGTAAAACGTCTCATTCGACAGAGACAATAAATTTTAGGGTAAAGTATAGTAATGGTTACTGAACTTTTCTAAAGTTTTTATTTAGGTCCCCCAACTTTTAAAACTTACAATACAATCCCCCAACATTTAGTCCGTTTGCAATATGGTCCCCGACGTAACCGGCAGTTTGACGCCATTACACTGTCATTAGTATGTTTGCAATATGGTCACTGAACTTTTTCAGGCTCTTGCATTTAGGTCCCCCAACTTTTTAAACTTGCAATACAATCCTTAATTTCATTCTAAATCCCAAATTCCTTTTCGATCTCGAATTTCCTTTTTCCTTTTTCTCTTCTCATTTCCATCTTAACTTTTCAGTCGGGGATGCATGGGAAATTCTAATCTAACTTTGAATTATGTGGAGGTGTTGACTTGAATAAGGGTTCATTGAGAGAAGACCCGACCAAGGGACTATCGGGATCATCAACGATTCAAGGTGTAATGTTAGATACAAGTAATCTTATGTGAAACATAAATGTTCGATGAAATGCTTGTGAGAAAAAATGGGGTTAGAAATACAGAGTTGACAAATACTACTAAGATGAACTAAGTATCATTGTTGAAAGTCACCAACAAAGCTGAAATTATTTTGTATAAATGGCAAATAATAATTTCTTAATTTAATCCTTGTGGTTAAAGATTTTCCAATAGATTATCAAATATAATCTATTTTGATGATTTCTAACCCTATTTTTTTCTCACAAGCATGTCATCAAACATCTATGCTTCACCTGAGATGACATGTATCTAACATTATACCTTGAATCGTTGATGGTCCCTATAGTCCCTTGGTCGAGTCTTATCTCAATGAACCCTTATTCTAATCAACACCTCCACATAATTCAAAGTTAGATTAGAATTTCCCATGCATCTCCGACTAAAAAGTTACGCTGTAAATGAGAAGAGAAGCGAAAAAGGAAATTTGAGATCGAAAAGGAATTTGGGGTTTAGAATGAAATTAAGTATTGTGTTGCAAGTTTAAAAAGTTGGGGGACCTAAATGCAAGCGTCTAAAAGTTCAGTGACCATATTGCAAACGTACTAACGGTAGTGTAACGGAGTCAAACGGTCGGTTATATCGGGAACCATACTGCAAACGAACGGTTATGTCGGGGACCATATTACAAACGGATTAAATGTTGAGGGACTGTATTGCAAGTTTTAAAAGTTAGGGGACCTAAATGAAAGCTTTAAAAAAGTTCAGTGACCATTACTATACTTTATCCTAAATTTTAAGAAGATTAATGGATTGTTTTGATATTTGGAAGGTTTCAATCTCTTCATAACTTTAAGTTTTATATTTTTATTTTATGTATGAGTTTTTTATGACTATTGTCTCCAATTTTCTTGTAATTTTGATTACTTCATTTTTATTAATGAAATTCAATTTTCATTGTTAAAAAAAATTAAAATAATCCCACTTTTGGGTTTAATATCAGCGTGTTTCTTATCTTGTTTCGAGTCGATTAGTATCATTGCCTTTAGTTTCGTCGTTGTCGTTGCAAACTTGGAGGAGAGAAAAGCTTTAGTTGTTTTTGAAATACTCCTCTGTTGATCACCATACTGAATCAACTCAGGTAATAGCTCATTAATTCTATAAATAATTTGTAGCAGGGTGTGATTGGGGTAAAAAAAGCTCATTAATTTTGGCACAATTAAACTATAGCTCCATTGAGCCACTTCAAATTTTATAGGATAACCTAATTTAAAGCCGAGCCAAACCACACGAATAAATTACAAGTGTTCTTTTTAGGGTGAACAAAAATCGAGTAGAGAAATTAAATTTTTCTATTTGAATTGACTTCGAGTTGCAATTTCATAAAATCGGCTCGACTCAAAAAAAATTCATGTTCAAATCGAGTTGTAAAATGCAACTCGAATAACTCAAAATTTGTACTTATTAGTGGATTTATTTTTAAGTTTGAGTCGAGTCATTGACTTTGTATGATATATGTATATCACTTATGAAAAAAATATAAAGAAATACATTTGTATTGTATATATGGTTATAGAAAAGTTAGAATTAAATAATATTATAATATTATAAATATTTATAATTAAATTTAAATATAAACTCGAAAAATCAACTCGACTCGACTCGAAAAAATTTCAAATAAAGTCCGAGTTGTAAAATAGAATTTGTCAACTCGAATAACTCAATTTTGTGACTCGACTCGGTTGAATGCTCACCCCAAATTATAACTAATTTAATAAATCATTTATAATTATAACTAATTTAATAAAATATATAAGTGTTAACAAAATGTAATATCAGCAATATTGTTAACGGTTTAATGAAATGCGAGAAAAATAATAAATTTTTATAATATTAATAAACTAAAAAGTATTCTGCGACCAAAATATTAACATAATAATTATTTGATATAAAGGATCGTAACCACAATTCTAACATGACAAAACTACACATGCAGTACGAAAACAACTACACAAATTACCTGACGCATGGACAAAATTCCTTTCTCTTTAACCCTAACCAGCTAGAAACATGCAAAAGCTAGCGGCTAAAATAAAATCGGAAACCACCTTTTCCACAAGACAACAAACGTGGGGTTTATAAAAGCCATCATCTTTTTTGACATTTATACATGCATAACAAGGAGAGAGAGAGAGAGAGAGAGAGAGAGAGAGAGAGAGAGAGAGAGAGCTCCAATTCCTTATTGTTCATCTTCATTGTTTAGTGCATTTAATTTGAGCTTAATTGGCGGGTTCAGCTGAAGTTAAAACTTGATAAGAATGCCGTGATTGCATTGCGTGATGGCTCAAGTCCTGTATAGATCCAATAGTTTCGCCCAAAGAGCATCGGATTCGGATCTTAACCGCTCATTCTCTAGCCATGCGGCGTGATACTGATTAATAACTAAACTTAGCCGGTTCTTAAGTTTATACAGAGATCATTTGCTGGGAATAATTTGCTTTACATTTTAACTGGAGATGAATGCGAGACTAAAGATGAAAGCACATATCCACCCACGAAGTTTCAAAAACAAAGATAATGGCATTGGTTGACCTCAGAAATCTCTGCACACAATTTAAGCCAAGCTGTTAAATTTCTCAATAGGAGGATTCTGTATCCAAACTGCACAGTCCATACTCATTTTATTCTCATAAGTTTAAGCATCTGAAATTTGAATGGACAGAATACACAAAACAATACATACTCATTTTGTTCTCAACAGAAGGATTCTGTATCCAAACTGCGTAGTCCATACTTTTTGATAATGCAGTTGCTTCTCATAAGCAGAAATATGTCATGATTGCCAATCACATAATTTTCAGGTTCATCCCCTATCAACTTGAGAAAAATAATATTACTACTTGCTAGTACCATTAACATTAGATCATATAAGCCAAAAACAAATCATGTAGGAGTAAATTATCATCTACAATACAGTAGGTTTAGTTGAAAAAGAAGCATGAATTCCTCGTGCTCAAGCAGATTTCCACTGAAAACAAGCTCAATCTGTATGCACAGATTTGTATTATCAACAAGAAAAAAATACAGACCAAAAAATAAACTAGGCTGAAGGATAGTTCGTAAGTCCAATCATTTTGTGATTGCTTTTATTTTAGCATTCTGTGATTAAGATTGACCAATCTCTTGATCTTTTCCAGAAAGATTGATTACTATCCCTATCATAATCCAGTCATGTAGAATCAAATTGCGAGATCAGTAAAATCTTCCTTAACAGAGCTGATGCTCCTATGGTAATTCTCTCCTATCAAGGTAAATCATTTTTCAAAAAGCATATAACGTGATGCTAAAAGCTATCATCAACAAGAACGGCAAAAAAAATGACACGAGAATTGGAATTCTTAATCCCAAAGCCAATTTCATTTCTAAAACACTGTCGATCCATCACTAATAAGAATTAGATTTCCTGGAACAACAAAATGGCACTAGTTCTGGTATACAGCAGCAGAGAACTGATATTTTTTAGTATAGATTTGTATATGGAAAATAATTTGAAGGAAGTTGGGTATTGCTAATGCTATATACAGTTTGCATGAGAGAAATATACATACAACGGTACAAGACAGTCTGATATAAGCAGCTTCAGTAAGATTTTGTTGTATTTCGGTAAAAAGTCAGAGCAAATGCTCATTCAAGCAGGCATCACAACCCTACTACCACCCAGGATATGTAAATACAGAGCAACACAAACTGTGACTATAATGGAAGACTTAGCACCAACATATCTGATAACATCCAGTCCCCTTTCCACAACCTCCTCACGAACAATATGAATACTTCTCTTCAAACCCTCTGAAAGCTTCCATAGTACAAACACCACCAAATACCTTAATGTTTCAAAAGTCACCCTCCCAGTCACATCAAGCACAAACTTCCAGTTGGCGGGAACTGCCCATGAAGAAGAGACCTTATTGACCCACCCATTATTCTGATTCCCATCAAATGAGCTCCCCCTTTCCATTCCGTTTAAAGACAATTCCTTCTTGAAACCATCTCTCATTCCACCAGCATCCAAGCTCCGATCAAGAAACAAACAAGTAGAACCCGACTTCAAGTCCGAACTTGTCAACACTTGATGAGACGTTCTCACCAGAGTTGCCACAGCACCATTACAAATAGAAACCAAAGCGTCTCTGACATGTTTTTCATGTTTAGGATTAGTCATCCCAGCAAAAAATTCATCATAAGTATTAATGTCCATTGTCTTGTCGAGATAAACCGCAACAGCCGTGCTTACTAATCTTTGAATGCAATCAGCAATCAGCTCTTTACATTTGTCATCATATAGCATCAAATTAACCCATTCGGGCACATTATTAGATGACCCATCGTTCCCATTCAACCGCTCCATTTCGCCACCGGCCGAGTAAAACCCCAGAACCAGATTCCTAGCAAAGCTACCAACTACAACTGATACAAAACCAGACCCAGCATTAGAGAAAACCCTATCCAACACCTTATCGGTAAAACTGGGATTCTCCGAACTCGTTTTGAATTCATTCACATTCATTGATTCTAACTTATAGCCTCTTAAAACCCCAACTGTTGAAGCCTCTGTAATCCTAATTAAAGATTGGGAAAACTCATCTGACCTCAAAATCTTTGAAAGTTGCTTCAAACTCTTTGGAACTTGATCGGAATTAGATTGCAAAAACTCCTTCAACTCCTTGGAGACAACATTGACCGCGTCGGCGGATTCCGAGACCAACTCAGCTAACGAAACCAAGGCTCCGAAGAGCTTGGAAAACGTCTTCCTTTTCTTCACAACAGAGGGTAAATTATAGACCTTGTAGGCTCCATAAACAGAGACGCCACATACAGCTAACAGTATAAGCCATTGTTTCTTCCGGCGCGAAAGAGTCAAAGCCTTGTTCACCGATTGCAAATCCATTAACAAAAACCAAACACTAGAATTACAAGAATTGGAAGCAAGAGCTTTTCAAATACAAAATGCAAAATAAATATTGACCCTCAGAATTTTTGGTTTTTTTGATAAGGTTTCCCAGCTCGAGATATCTAGGGTTTCGTTTCAAAGTAGATGGAGATAAGATAATTTTTATTTAAAGGTAAACTACATAAATGATTAATGTCGCGAAATGACTATCATTTTTTAAATTATGACAAATATATTATTAAAATATTTAAATAAATTTAATATAATCATATGACTTTAATATTTAACGAAATTATTTACGTGACAGTTAAAAAAATTAATATAATTAGGTAAAGGTCCTTGTAAAGTTACGTACTTGCGGTGCTGACATCCTGCTTTTTTTTTTATTTTGGTCACTACTTGTATATGATTTATTTCCTTGAATTTTCATTTAATCCAATTTGATCCTGATTGTGCTGTCTAATGCCTTAATTTGAGCATTAACTTTAAAATCTTTTATTCTAGTAATGTATTAAATTTGAAGATTAAATCCCCTAGATTTTATAATTAATCAATTTGATCACCAAAATTAACTTTAATTCTTAATTTTTAATTAGGTCCTAATTTCAATTTAATATAAAAAATGTTGTTTAATCGGATACCCGATGCCCAGTTTATTTTTTTATATATTATATTAAATTTTTATTTATAATTCTCAAAGATTATACTACCAAATTAAATAAGCAGTATATTATAATTAGATTTGATAAAATCAAACATTCCAAGCTTGTCTAGATTCTTAGTTATAATTTAGTATTTAAACTGTTAATATCATTTCAATATAGTCATTTGGTTAAACAGTCAATATTCTAATCGAGTCGGTTGCAATTTCTGTGTTTGAAATCAAGTTGTTATCTCTGTTAGGGTCCAACCGAATTTGTAATTTCTGTTTTTGAGGAGTTTTGTTTTGCCCCATTAGGGCAATTAAATAAAATATTTTGAAAAATAGAACAAGTAAAAGTTTATTTTGAGATCTACGATATTTTCTATAGTGTTTATGAAATTTGTCACGTTGAGATGATGGGTTTAAATAAAAAATATTTTTTATTCAAATTAATCACGTTGATGTGACAAGTTCTAATAAAATATAATTTTTTAATTAATTTTTATCATATTGAGATAAAAAATTTGAATAAAAAATATTTTTAATAATACTTGTTACCTCGATGTAACGAATTTTAAGTCACGGTAACAAATCCGAAGTCTCTAAATAAACTTTCACATTACCTATTAGACTTTTTTTTTTGGTTCTGCGCTATTGAGCTAAAGAAAAAAAAAACCAATTTTGAGTTGGCTAGCATATATGTTATTAAAGGTTGTAGTGGGCTTCACCCAAGAGACCATTACTGATAATCATCTATTCAATTTCACTTCCAATTTCAGCATTTTGTCCTAAAACCATGCAATTATCACAGACCACCAGCCCATGACCGAACTCAATGCAATCAAGGCTGCCAAGGACTATCTTTACCACGTTTTGGGCCTTCTAGAAGACCCAAGTGAGCTGACCCAATCCACATTGGAGACATGATAATTGTTTAGCATTATCTTAGAAGATAATGATGCCAACTCATTGCCCACTTGTTGTAAATAGTATAGAGTTCTCATCTTACCCATTGATGTATTTTAATCCCAACCGTTCATTGTAGGGGACTCCAACTATAAAAGGAGGCTCACCCCCCCTTCATTTACACACCTCAATTTGAGAAATACAAACTAGTATTCACTCTCAAATCTCTCTTATTCCTTTGTGCGCCCATCTCTTTGTTTCCCTATTTCCTTTGGGTTTTCCAACGTTCTAAGCATTCTAGCTTAGTGAAGGTTCGGGTCACTTAGCCGATTTTCGACCTTGAAAACGTCTAAGGCCGCACGAGCTTGCTAGCAGCAGTCTAGCCCCGTGAAAAGTGGTATCAGAGCGTGTCGTTGTGGGCAAACAATGATTATTTCGACCGAGTTTGGTGGAAGGTACGAAATTGGGTAAGTTCTGTTTACTCACAACTTGTTCAATTTATTTTGCTAACTGAGATGGCCCCACAACATGGTGATGTGGGAGGTTCCGATGGAAATGAATCCCGGAATGCTGGAAAGAAGATAGCACCATCGAGAGATATTCTCACATCCCTCCAAGAGAAGGTTACCAGACTCGAAGGATCCATGGCGGATGCCCAAAGAGTGCTGGACAAACTAGAGTCCGTAGACCTTGAAAGGTTGGGATCATTGGATCTCGACAAGCTAGAATCCTTGGATTCTATTAAGGATGATGTTCAGGATTCACTCAATGGGTTGGATGTGAAGACAACAGATCGAGGTAATTCCTTGGAAGCCATGATAGTAGCTTTAAGGAAGGAAGTTGAGGAACTCAAGAGCGAGGGTTCTAATTCTGAGGTGGCAACGTTAAAGAGGGAGGTCGAGCTGCTCAAGACCGAGCTATTGGTGTGCAAAGCTGCATTCGGAAGTGGCGTTGCCACGGTTGCACCCAAAGCCTTGGGCGACATCCCTAAGCCGAAAAAGTTCAAAGGGTACAGGTCAGCCCAGGATGTCGAGAATTTCCTTTGGGGCCTGGACCAGTACTTTGCAGCCATGGGCATCACGGAGGATGCCAAGAAAGTAAGCATCGCTAGTGTTTACTTATCTGAGGTTGCCCTCATGTGGTGGCGACATAGATGCAACGATGTGAAGCGTGGTACCGCTCCCATCGCAACATGGGAAGAGTTCCAAGCAGAGTTCAAGGAACAATTCTACCCAAAGTATGCCGAAGATGAGGCGCGGTCAAAGTTGAGGCGTCTCAAGCAAGAAGGGTCATTGAGGGAGCATGTTTGAAAGTTTGTCGAAGTAAGTCTCCAAGTCCCGAGTTTAAGTGAAGAGGACGGGTTCTTCACCTTCATGGATGGGCTAAAACCATGGGCAAAGAACGAGCTAAGGCAACGAGGGGTCAAGGATCTCTCGACTGCCTTGACGACAGTCGAGTCAGTCATTGAGCTTGGCATCAAGAGTGTGGACTCCAAACCAAAGCCAAATTTCCGAGGCAGCAGTGGCGATAGGGACAGGGCGTCCAGATCCGATAGGGATTCGAGTGGCAGTGGAAGGCCATCGAATAGCAAGCACTTGGATAAAAAAGATAAGCCGATTATCCAATGTTACAACTGCAAGGGCCAAGGACACTTGGCAAGGAACTGTCCGCAGAAGAACAAACTCTCAGCCATCAAGGAGAAAGATGGGGAAGAGAGTGAGACTCTTAAGCTTGGCTCCATCCTTAGCACCATGGAGGTCAAGAAGGGTCGAAAGAAGAAGGGGTTGAAGTTCATGGACGTCAACGTTGCTGGCCAAAAATTGAGTGCATTAGTGGAAACTGGTGCCTTAGAATTGTTCATGTCCGAACCAATTGCCAAGAAACTTGGCATTGCCAAGAAACTTGGCCTTCATGTAGAGAAGGCGAATGATTCCATTTAGACCGTGAATGCCGAGGAAGTTCCGATTGCGGGGGTCGCAAAAGGAATCGAGCTAACCGTTGGGGGATAGTCCGGAAGAGAAACCATTAAGGTAATTCCTCTTGATGATTTCGATTTTGTTCTTGGCTTAAGTTTCTTGGACAGGATCAATGTTTTCCCGGTACCCTTTGCCGATTGCTTGTGCATCCTAGATCAAAAGCAACAATGCATAGTTCCAGTAAACCGAGGGTCAGGAGTCGGGGCCAAAGTTTTATCTGCGATTCAATTCTCGAAGGCGGTACGCAAGGAGGAACCAACCTTCCTAGCTGTCTTGGTGTGTGACGAGCCAGCCACAACCAAGGATGTTCCCGACGTGGTAAGCCACGTTTTGGCATAATTCAAAGACGTGATGTCTGTCGAATTGCCTAAGAAGTTACCTCCAAAGAGGGAGGTTGATCACAAGATTGAACTTGTGCCGAATGCAGAGCCACCCGCTCGAGCCCCTTACCGAATGGCTCCGCCCGAGCTAGAGGAGATGCGCAGACAGTTGAAGGATCTCCTCGATGCTGGTTACATCCGACCATCAAAGTCCCCATATGGAGCTCTGGTGTTATTTCAAAAGAAGCACGATGGTTCCTTGAGATGTGCATCAATTACCGGGCTTTGAATAAGCTCACGGTGAAGAACAAGTATCTGATTCCTCTCATTGCGGACTTGTTCGATCAACTTGGTGGTGTAAGGTGGTTCACAAAGTTGGACTTGCGATCTGGCTATTACCAAGTGAGGATAGCCGAGGGAGATGAACCGAAGACAGCCTGCGTGACCAGGTACGGTTCTTATGAATACCTTGTGATGCCCTTTGGCCTCACGAATGCTCCAGCCACTTTCTGCACCTTGATGAACAAGGTGTTGCAGCCCTTTTTAGATCGATTCGTTGTAGTCTACCTCGACGACATCGTCATCTATAGCAAGACGTTGGAGGAGCATGTCGAACACTTGAGGCAAGTGTTCTTGGTATTGCGAGACAATGAGCTCTATGTTAAAGAGGAGAAGTGCTCATTTGCCCAGACGGAGGTTCCTTTCCTTGGCCACATTGTTGGAGGTGGCAAGATCTAGATGGATCGGGACAAGATTCGAGCCATTGAAGAATGGAAGGTGCCAACCAAGGTGACGGAGCTGAGGTCATTCTTGGGGTTGGCCAACTATTACCGGTATTTTGTCAAAGGATACTCTAAAATCGCTGTCCCCTTGACCGAGTTATTGAAGAAAGACAAGAGGTGGGATTGGAGCCCGAAGTGTCAAAGTGCCTTTGACGAACTCAAGCTTGCTATGATAAGCGAGCCAGTCTTGGTGCTGCCTGATACAACAAGTCCTTTGAAGTGTTCACCGATGCATCCGACGTTGCTATTGGTGGGATCTTGATACAAGAAGGACATCCGGTTGCTTACGAAAGCCGGAAGCTAAATGAGACCGAAAGGCGATACACGGTCCACGAGAAAGAGATGACAGCGGTTGTGCACTGCTTGCGCACATGGCGACATTATTTACTTGGGTCCAAGTTCATAGTGTTTACTGACAATGTTGCCAACAGTTACTTCCTAACCCAGAAGAAGTTATCACCGAAGCAGGCTCG